AAAGGAAGAAAATTCCCGAGTGAAATGTATGGGATGCGGGGGAAATCGCTGGCACGGTTGTAGGGCACACAAGTATTTGCTGTAACTGGGACGAATGCAAGAAGAAAGAGGAGTCAGAGTCAGCATTATGCCCCTCTCCCTGGAGGTGTGCAGGCTTGCCCCCGCGGCAAAGTGGCTTTTGCACTTGGTGGGGATAAAACTGTGACCAAAGAAAACGTGGAGTTTTTTTTGTCGGCATCCTTCTCCTGGGCTGAATGAGGAACTGCCCCTGGAGGCAGTTAACAAGCCCCAAAATCTGCAGTGTGCTTTCCGTCCCCCCTGGAAAGAAAAATGATGGGGATGGATAGATGGGCCCTACCTCGTCGGGGGTGGTGAGGGAGCTGGGTGCAGGCTGCCCTCATCCTCAGGGTGGAAGGGCTGAAATGTTGCCCGTCGCACCTTGGATTTAGTGTTTATGATCAGATATTCCCCTCTCTGCCCCTAAAAGCATGCCCGGAGACTACAGTGAGTGAAGGGGAGGACAGGGAGCCAAAAACCCACACTGTGATGGCAGTTTCTGTCTAGTCTTGGCTAAAGTGAGAATGCCTACGATACTGCTGCTCATTACTTGTGTCCCAGTAGCAACTAAGAGCTCCTGGTCACACACCAGCACTTCCCAGCACCAAGGGAGATGGCAGCTTAAATAAAGCTCTCAGTAATTTTGCCCATTATTTTTTTTTAAATATTCTCCAGCAGTTCTTGCTGCAGTTTTTGCTTTCAGTTTCTGTTAAAAAGGCAACAGTTAGCTAAACTGAAAGAGGAAAAAAAACCCACAAAATAAAGAGAGTTTTTAAACCTGTAGGCATTGATTTCGTTAGTGTATTGCACTCAGTCTTGTTTTCAGAGTGACACGGTAACCCCCAGCAGATTTATGTGCAAACACAAAGATTAGTGACCCAGAAGCTTGACTGAAGCAGCTTTTCTGCTTCCAGAAGACAGGTTGCTCTGCACATGCATATTTTGTCAGGAAAGATGCACTGGCCCCATTAGCTTTTCATTCTCTCATGAAAAACCCTCAGTGTTTATAAAGCACAGCTTGGTTTTAATTTTATTGTGCTCTTCAGTAAAGTGGTCTAACTATAAAGATTGCTCAGTTTCTAGGACAGAGCAGAGCAAGAACTTAACTCATATACCTTAATGGTATAGTGCTAGCATATCTTCAACTGTCTGACTCTCATATCCACTGCCTGAATAGCTTTCAAATGAAGAAAAATGTCTGTAACTAAAATATTCGGTGTGTTCTGTTGTTATTTAACAGTAAGCAGTGTGGTTAAGCCAGGTCTTAAACCTGCTTAATCCCGCTGAGCTAAATAGATTTTGTTATTGACTCCCATGGTCCCGGAACTCTGACCTTGAGGCTGAAGTTAAAAGCTAATTTTTTGCAGTCTGTTCCACCAACCCAGCAGCACTTGCTTGCTGGATGCATTTGCAATGGAGAATGTCCAGCTGTAAATTACAGCTGTTTGTAATCATACCCAAACACAACACTCATTATTATTCTTTTGTTCTTTTTAGGCTGAAAAGCCCACCATGAGGGAGACCGCACAGCACTTAATCCACTCATTAAATTTACTCACAGCTCATATTCATGTGCGAGATAAGATTTTCCAAGAAGTAAAGATTTACAGCGGTCCTAGGGCACTTTTATTCCCCTAGCTGCTTTTATTTCTCTGTGCTGTAGCGCAGGCCAAGTGGGTCTGCTGAAGAGTTTTGAACACTTAGAGGAAAGTGTTGTACCACCACTGAATTTCCGCTCTTGTTGTAATAGGGGAAAGATAGGTCACTCATTGCGGTGCTTGGGTGGTACTCAGGAGACATCCTTGTCTCGCAGCTGCGGTCTGTTCTCCTTTCTGTGTATTTACGCCGGAGGACACAGGCAGATGCTGCTAGCTCTGCCCGTACGAACCCCAGCACAGGCGTGTGGGGCAGAGGGAGAGCTGAACCCGCTCAGCCTGGCAGCCGTGTGGCTGTGCTGGCAAGCCTGCTCGTCCCAGCCGATCAGTCCTGTGAAGAGTCCAGCTCCCTAGCTTGCGCTCAGCGCCCGGCTAATACATACGTGTCATCCAGACCTGAACTGTTAAGTACAGGCTGTGATAAACCTTTCTGATTTACCACCTTGCACTGGTGATAGGCAAAGCACCTCAACACTAACATCCGTTTGGCAGCGTAGACAAGTCCCGTTCATGATGGCTGACAAGCTACGCAGCCTGTCTGAGCTTCAGTCCGCCTCCATGTCAGGCAGAAGGGATCGTACTTTGCGTTTCTGTGTAACCATGCCTTGTCCGTCCACGTCTGATCACGGTTAGGACATCAAAACGCAGGCTGTGCCAGTCATGAGCTGGTTTGCCCTCATGGGACTGGCCAGTTGCACTCAAGGTCCTAAAGGGCAAACAACTTTTTCCCTTTGTCCACCGGAGCCGTGGTGGGTTTGGGGAGCTGAGCAGCGGGCCGTGAGAAGCAACGGAGCCCCACATCTGTGGGTAGAGAGATGTTTGCAAGCAGAGGTGCTGCTGCACTGCCTCTCCTGGGTGCGTGCACGCATTTAGCGCACAGCTGCAGGGAAAATTGAATGGAAAAGGTTGATCTGGGACAATCCGATCCTTTCCCCTGATATTGTAAGCAGCCACAGGTGACGTGCAGAATCAAACTTCGCAACTCAGAGAGTTATAAAGCAGGTATGTTTATTGCGGCGCCAGGTGCAAGGGGGATCGCTCCTCCTAACTTGCACACCGAGTCACGAAGCATGCACCTATTTATTACAAAGCTTATCTAAGTAGGCTGGACTATTGTAATTATTTCTAGGAATTCATTATCATACTCCACCCCCCTTTAGCACTTGCTCAGTGTCGTCTGGTGGTCGTCTTTGGGGGTCTTCTGGATGAAGGCTCGTAGTCTTCCTCGCTCTGTGCTTTCACCTTTGGCTCAAAAATTCCTGAGTTGTCTGTGTTGGCTGAGTCCCAAACCATAGAATCAGTTTCAGCTAGAGAGTTGCTTCTTACAAACAACAAAGTTCTGGTTATCAGTCCTTGTTTCTCTTTGTTGGTCTCCGAGTAGTCCTTGTGAGCTACATTTGAGCCACAACAGTCCTTGTTTTTCTTCGTTTGTCTCGCAAGCAGTCCTTGTTAACTACATTTGCGCCACAGCAGTCTTTGTTAGCAAGGTTACAAAGAACAGAACTAAACTAAATAACAGTGTTTAACTCTTACCTTAACATAGATGCAAAATTATATAACAAAATTAAACTAAAGCTATAGCAAAATCGAACTAATTGTCAATTTCCCACATCACAAGATCGATGGTGAGTTTTGGGTTAGGAGGCCTGGGGAGGGACTGCCTGTAAAGTATTAAGGCAACAATAAGAGTCAATTTAGACTTTTAATAGATCACTTAAAGCAGGGAAGGCAGCTGTCCAAGCAGCTTTTGGTGGACGGAGCCGAAGATTTCTTGTTCTCAAGTATCTGCGTGAGCTGTGAATGAGCGAAGCAGCGATACCCTGAAGTAAGTAAATAGTCCAGTGGCAGCTAGCAAAAATACTCATGTGTTTCGTGTCACTCACGCACTTCTGTTTGTGTTGGACTGAGTTTTTCAATAACATCACCTTTCACACCGTGAGAGTCGTCCACATGACAAGCTACGTGGTCAGCTTATCAGCGGTGTGACTGAGCTAGCTGGCTGGCCAGAAAGGCTTCATGTGACAGGTCTGGGTAATCAGTGACAGCCGCGAGGAAGCCTTGGTTCGGGACAGCTGAT